CCTGCTGCCATCCTCACCATTGTTACTTTCTTTAAGCCCAAGGTTGCAGCCACTGCATCAATCCAGCTTGTTGGGGGTCTTCCTCTTTTTCACTGACCCTCTATGTTATCAAGCATGATGCCCTTTTCCAGGAACTGTTCCCTCCTGATAACATGACCAAAGTATGAGAGGTGAAGTCTCTCCTCACTTCTAAGATGTTTTCTGCCTGTATTTCTTCCAAGACAGATTTGCTCATTTTCCTAGCAGTCCATGATGATGGCTTAAACCAACTCATAGCAACCATTTTGAGGACAGAGTCAATCTGCCCCATTGAGTTTCCAAGGCTGTAAATCTTTGCAAAAGCAGACTACTTCATCTTTCTGCCATGGAATGACTGGTGGGTTGGAACCACTGACCTTTTGATTAGCAGCCAAATGCTTTAACTACTACTCCACCAGAGCTCTTTTTTGATAATGGCTTACCAAAAAAAAAAAAAAAAAAAACCAAAACAAAACTCACTGATGTTGAGTCATTTCCGACTCATAGCAACCCCTCCTTGGGTTTCCAAGGCGGTAGCTCCACGGAAGTAGATTGCCCAGTCTGCCTTCCGAGGAATGGCTGGTGGATTTGAACCACCAGCCTTCTGGTTAACAGCCAAATGCCTTAGGTATTTGCACCACGAAAGCTCAGAAAGGCAGAATATTTACACTATATTCAAGATTTTCATTCATTCAATAAAGTTCATTAAATTCCTTCCATATGCCAGAAAAAGTGCAAGCTGTTGAACTGAGCAAAATGGGCATGGTAGGTTTCTATACTCATGATGGTTTTAATTTGGCAGTAATTGTGGTGTTATGGGAGTGGAAGCAGGGAATATTTAGTGTAGATATAATAAGGACCAATCTAGCCATAAGAAGTCCTGGCGATGCAGTGGTTAAGCACAAGGCTGGTAACTGAAAGGTCGGTGTTTCAAACCCACTAGCCACTTATCGGAGAAAATGTGGCAATCTTTTCCATAAAGATATATAGTCCTAGAAACCCTATGGGGCAGTTGTACTCTCTTCTGTAGAGTCACTACGAGTGGGAATTGACTTGACAGCATGGGTTTGTTTTTGGGTTTTAATCTAGTCATGGGATCACCATGAATCAGAATTGACTAGAGAGCAATTCTTTAAATCTAATCTGGGAGGACAGTTGTTAGTTACCATCCAGTGGATTCCAACTCATGCTGACACCATGTGTGCAGATTTGAATGACTCCACAAGGTTTTCAAGGCTTTGACCTTTTGAAGGCTGATTGCCGGCTTGTTTTCCAAACGTGCCTCTGGGGAGATTCAAACCTTCAACCATTCCATTAGTAGCTGAGTTGTTTTACCGTTTGCATAATCCTGGACTCCTTGGGAGGACAAAGAAAGCCCCAACAGAATTCAGTATATGTATGCATATTCTGCATGTATTGGATTGTGGAATGACATCAAGAACATCATACTTGCAGAGAGCAAAAGGTCATTAAAAAGACAAGAAAAGACCAAAATGGTTGTCAGAAGAGACTCTGAAACTAGCTCTTGAACAGAGAGTAGCTAAAGCAAGAGGAAGAAATGACAAGATAAAAGAGCTGAATAAAAGATTTCAAAAAGCAGCTTGAGAAGACAAAGTCAATTACTATAATGAAATGTGAAAGACCTGGAGTTAGAAAACCGAAAGGGAAGAACACGCTCGGCATTTCTTAAGCTGAAAGAATTGAAGAAAAAATTCAAGCCCTGAGTTACAATATTGCAAGGTTCTATGGGCAAAATACTGAATGGTGCAGGAAACATCAAAGGAAGATCAATTGGTCAATGTTCATTCATTTCAGGAGGTGCCATATGACCAAGAACCAATGGTATTGACGAAAAAAGTCGAAACTTCAGTGAAGGAATTGATGAAAAACAAGGCTCCAGGAATTGACAGAATACCCATTGAGATGTTTCAACAAACGGATGCCACGCTAGAGACACTTAGTCGTCTATGCCAAGAAATTTGGAAGACAGCTACCTGGCCAGCTGACTGGAAGATATCCGTATTTGTACCCAGTTCGAAGAAAGGTGATCCCACAGAATGTGGAAATTATCAAACAATATTATTAATATCAGGAGCTCTGGTGGCATAGTGCCTAAGGCATTTGACTGCTAACCAGAAAGCTGGCGGTTCAAATCCACCAGCCACTCCTTGGAAGGAAGATTGGACATCTCCTTTCATAGTGATATCACCTCAGAAACCCAAGGAAGGGGCACTATGAATTCGACCTGACTCAATGGCAGTGTTTTTTGTTTGTTTGTTTGTTTTTTATCATTAATATCATATGCAAGTAAAATCTTGCTGAAGATAATTCAAAAACAGTTGCAGCAGTATATCAACAATGGACGTTTAGAAATGCAAACTGAATTTAGAAGAGGACGTGGAACAAGGGGTATCATTACTGATGTCAGATGGGTCTTGACTGAAAATAAAGAATAAGATGTTTACTTGTGTTTTAGTGACTATGCAAAGGCATTCAACCATGTGGATCATAACACATTATGGATAACATTGAGAAGAACGGGAATTCCAGAACACTTCATTGTGCTTATGAGGAACCTGTACATAGACCAGGAGGTTGTCATTTGAACAGAACAAGAGGATACTGCATGGTTTAAAACTAGGAAGGGAGTGTGTCAGGCTTGTATCCTTTCACCATACTTATTCAATCTCCATGCTGAGCAAATAATCTGAGAAACTGGACTATATGAAGTAGAACATAACATCAGGATTGAAGGAAGACTCATTAACAACCTGTGATATGCAGTGACACAACCTTGCATGTTGAAAGTGAATATGACTTGAAGCAATTAATGATAAAGATTAAAGACTACAATCTGCAGTATGGATTACATCTCAACATAGAGAAAACAAAAATCCTCAAAACTGGACCAATAAGCAGCAACACAATAAATGGAGAAAAGATGGAAGTTGTCAAAGATTTCATATCACTTGATTCCATGATCAACACCAATGGAAGCAGCAGTAAAGAAATTAGATGACGTATTGCACTGAGCAAATCTGAGGCAAAAGACCTCTTCAAAGTGCTGAAGAGCAAAGATGTCTCTTTGAAGACTAAGGTCCACCTAACTCAAGCCATGGTGTTTTAGATTGCATCACATGCAGTTGAAAGAAGAGTTGATGCTTTTGAGTTGTGTTGACAAGAATACTGAAAGTACCATGGACTACCAGAAGAACTAACAAATCTGTGCTGGAAGTAGTGCAGCAGGAATGGTCCTTGGAAGTGAGAATGGCCAGACTTTGTCTCACTTACTTTGGTCATGTTGTCAGAAGGGACCATTCCCTAGAGAAGGATATCATGCTTGGTAAAGTGGAAGGTAAACAAAAAATGGGAAGTTCCTCAAGGAGACGGATTGACACAGTGGCTGCAATAAAGGGTTCAAGTAAAACAAGCCTTGTGAGGCTGGTGCGGGACCAGGCAATGTTTCTTTCTGTTGTATGTAGGGTCGTTATGAGTTGGAGCCAACTAAACCGGCACCCACAACAAAAATATGCGCATTTGAATTCATTTTAAAAAACACATTCCAAAAAGAATCCATGCTGTAGCAATCAATATGATCCATTTATAGGTTTGTTTGTATTTAATTTGTGCTATGTATGTTTGGAAGGAAGATGGGGCAATCTACTTCCGTAGTGATACTGCCCTGGAAACCCAAGGAGGGGTCGCTATGGGTCGGGTCTGACTCAACGGCACATAACAACAACAACAACATGTTTGGTTTTAGTTGTAGAAGAACTACAACCGTGTTATGTGTACTGGTGTTGGGTTTTGTATATTTTTAGATAAGAGTATATAAAAATACTTTAAATCAACATTGATAGAGTATTTTTCATTTTTAAAGGGAGACACTGAGGACTATTTAGGAGAGACAAACTAATATGAAATATATAGCAAAAAATGGGAATAAAGGTGCTGATTTCGAGTTCACTGGGGGCAGCCACCTGTGTCTTGAATCCCATAACTGGTGAAATGTAATTTACAAAGCATTGCAACAGAAAATTTTACAGGTTTTGAGCTAACGAAGAATAAAATTTAAGAGTCCATGTGCTACTGTGAAATTTCCAGAAATTATTCACAAGTCTATTAAAGTAAAAAAAATGGACAAAAATGTAGGTACAGCACATGACACAAGAAAAGCAGTAAAGGAAAAATCAAGAGTCAGAATCTGCCTGGTAAAATCTCCACAGTAGGAAACAGTGCTGTGCATATTAAAGCAGTTACTGAATAAATACTTGTTGGAATTTCCAGAGATGACCAAGCAAACATCAAGAAGGAAGTGGCTTTTTTTTTTTTAATCATAGAAGATTTCTAACATGTACGAAAGTACAGAGAATAGTAATAAGAACTCCCACGCAAATTCAATAGTCGTCACTCACGACCAATCTTCTTTCCTTTATATATCCTCCTCCCCATTACCCGGGAGCTCTGGTAGCATAGTGCCTAAGGCACCTGACTGCTAACTAGAAGGCTGGAGGTTCAAACCCACCAACCACTCCTCGGAAGGAAGGTTGGGCAATCTACTTCCTCGGAAACCCAAGGAGGGGTCGCTATGAGTCGGTCCAACTCGATGGCACATAACAACAACCACCCCAGTATTCTGAAACAAAAAACAGGTATCATATTTCAACCCTAAAAATCTCTAAAATATAGGTTTTTTTTTTTTTTTTTAAACTAACCATAATAAATAAGGAAGTGCTCAAGTTGTCACTACACTCTCCAGGAGCGAAGCTCACCCCTTAAACCTGCAAGCAGGCCCCTCCCACATCCCACACCTCCTTTCAGGGTCGACACCGCCGGACCGGCCTTTTAAGGTTGTGGCGGATCTTCACTCCGCCCCTCTTCTCGGGAAGTTCCCGCCCACCGGGCTCCCGCTGACCCTGCGCGCCCCCGTCAACCAACGCCACCTCGGCGTAAGAAGCGGCTCGCGGCCTGGAGACGCTGAACCCGGGCTCGGGAGCGCGCACGCCGTGCGTCCAGGGTTTCAGGATTCTACCCTGGCGCCTCCTGGGAAAGGTGAATGGTTTGGCCTGCTATGTTCCGCTCTGCGTTGGTCCGGGCCCGGCCAGCTTGCCTCACCGCCCAGTGGGTAAGGAGGATGGGGATGAGCCCGAGCACTACCTTTGCCCTATCTTCATGTCTCCGTGCTTCCTTTTGTTCTGGAAACCGGAGAGACCTGGGTTCTTGACGGGCCTTACAGGCGGGGGCAAGGACACTATGGCCTTCGCTTTGTCCCCAGGAAGGACGCTGCCGCCCCACCAGTGCCTGACTTCTCCAACAAGACTCGGGAGTTTACGCTTGTTTTGGTGAGGGAGAAGGTGAAGGAGGGGCCGCTCGGTCTGATTTTTGCTCTTTCGCTTTGTCACGGGTCTGGCAGATATGTTCCTAGTACTCTCACCCCGAAGGAGCAGGCAGGCACCTTGTCTTATCAAGCCTAGTGAACTGGTTGCTGTAAAGTATACTCGAGAACTCTAGATTGTTGGCTTTGGCTTTCTTTCTTGTTGAAGGATTACTGATAGTTGGCTTAGGCCAAGAGAAGGGCGATCATTGTTTCTTTTACTGCAGTTATGTATAACGGAGATGGTCGGTAAGTGTTACAGACTACATTGGTGAAAGACCCTCCCTGAACACCACGACAAATTCATCATCCAGCTAGGGAATCCTAGGATTTAGTGCTCGGAAGGTCTTTTGAGATCATTCAGGTGTATCGTATATTGGGTAAAGAAATTGAACCTCAGAGGCTGAAACACTCGTTCAAGTTAATTTTAAAAAGCAAATGTCAAAATTCTACGATAATACCAACAGGACATTTACTGGAAAGAACGAAAGGCCCCCCCCCCCCCCCCGGTAAAACAGAAGGGGAGTTAGTGTGCATTTGTATAAAGTGAGTTCAGGGCTTTAGAGTTAGATCTGAGTTTGGATTATGGCTTAACCACCTTTTCTAACTGTGAGACCTTTCTTTTAGTTTCCTCAGTTGTAAAATGGAAATATTCTATCTTGCAGAGTTTAGCCTTCCAATAAATATTTGAAGCCTCTCTAGCTCCAGATCTGGTGAGCTACAGGGAATAATAGAGGTAATATTGACTAGTTTTTATGTGCCAAGCACTGTGTTAAATATTTATAGTACACATTTAATTCTAATAATTAGAATTAGGAAACAGATTGAGATAGTCTCTGTTCTTGTGGAGGTAAAAGGGTAAATATGAAGATAAATATACAATGTTAAAGGTGTGAGTTCAGAAAAAAAAAAAAAAAACCAGTTGAATGGCACTCATGCATTGCTCAGTAGAACTGTGTTCTATAGGACTTTTCATTCTGTGATCTTTCAGAAGCAGATTGCCAGACCTTTCTTCTGAGAAACTTCTGGGTGAGTCCGAACCACCATCCTTTTGTTAGTAGCTGAGCACTTAACTGTTTGCATCACTCAGGGACTAGAGAGATGAGTAGGGCCATCCAACTTGACATGAAGGTGGGATAAGATGTCTCTTGGAGGTGATGCCAACATTTTAGTAGTGGATGGATTGGAGGAGGCTTCTAGGTAGAAAGGATAGCATGAGAAAAGACTCGATGTTGACAAGGAAAAGTGGTGGGTATGAAAAACTGCAAGTCATGTTGCTGGACTCTACTATTAAGGTAAAGTGGATTCTGAAATGAGCTAGGATAGAGGTAAGCAGATCTTGGTGCTCTTTGCGTGTCGTGAATAGTTTGACTTTGTCTTAGAGGCAGTGGGGAGTCACTGAAGAGTTTTAAGCAGCAGAGGGACAGGTCAGATTTCTGTTGCAGATGAATCATTGGGTGAGACTGAAATGGAACTGGTTTAACTGGAGCCAGAGGCAGGTAGATTAAAGATAAGCGGCCCTTGCAGAACCCTAAGTGAGAGATGCTGTGAACCAGAACTTGTTTGCTAGTAGAAAGAATGGAAGATAACAGATAATATTTCCTATTTTCTTTTGTGTTTGAAGTGAAGCAGTTAGAGATATAAATTAAAAAGCAATTTTAACAATGAAAAACAACATAAACTTCAGGTAATGGAGGAAAGTTTTAATCATGTTTCATACTAGTTTCTGCAACTTAATTTTTTTGTCCTTTTTTTATAAACAGTACCTGATAGGGAGTATGTGCACAATCTGTTTAACTGATGAATAAATTTAGTGTTTTATTACACAAGTAATAGTAGCATTGGTTGGTTGTTAGGAACCTGCAAAAAGGACAAGGAGGCCACATGTTCTGACCTCCTCTAATCCCACAATAGGAAGACAGAATCACCATCAATAGCTCAAGGCCTATTCCTGTGAGGCCAGACATGCTGCCTCCCTCCAGCCCTTTCTCCAACCGTTCCTCCCAGAGCACCCACCACCTCTCTCCTGGATTTGATAATTTGCTGCAGTGGCCACACAGAACTCAGATTATGAGGTTTATTAGGGAAGCACCAGACTACAATTCAAGTTCAGGAAAAATGCTCAGTCTCTCTCCCAGCCCACTGTCTCTCAGCCAAGTCTCTCACAGTCTCTCCCCCAGCAGTGCAAACTAGGGCTGTTATACAGAGAATTTGTTGGCACCAACACTCCGGCCTTCAGCATGTCTTTAATCAAAGCACTAATTTCCTTCTGTCCACCAGATATCCTATATTGTTTCAAGTTAACAACCTGAGTGGGCTCAGGCAATTCCAGTGGTTCCCATTTAGCATATCCAATCAAGTATTAGCTGAAGGCGGACTTATACACTCTCTGTTATCCACGTACACCATCATCGTTTCTAATGTACAAGCAGGTAAGAGAACATTCAGTAGCCATAGTACATTCAGATAAACACATAATCCTTTTAAAGACATTCCAGGTTCATCTGTTCACCTTGATTACTGTCCCATTCTGTGCATATTGCCTTGGGCCTTTGGCTGGGTGTAACCAAAAGCCCTAGCCTCTGGATCTACTACCTACTTTAAGAGGTAACACCAAACAAAGTAACCATCTAAGAATCCAAAGTTTCACTTCCCAGCCCCCTTCCTTCTTTCTTTCACAAAATCTCATGCTTCTGGGAGTCTGGAGCCACTGCAACAAATCCCATTTCTGACACCAGTTGCTTGAACAATTTCTCTTAGAAAGATCAGCACGAGGCCAGTCCCCATGAGGTGGAGGTTAAAGATGTCCCAAATGTCCAAACTACCATACCACTCCATCATTTCAGACATTAACTCCTCCTCCTCCTCCCAGTAATTTCCCCAGTCTTAGGGTTCTGTGTTTTGCTGTAATGCCTCACAGAACTCACAGACACCCAAGGGTTCGTCACATGTAGTAGTGGTGGAGGCTGGCAGGCTGGCAAGTCCTAGGTCCGTGAGTAGGTCTGGAGGATCCTCCCAACTCTCGGGGTTTGATGAACCTCAATCAGCAGATCAGATGATGGCTGCTGTCCCAAATCCAGGGGTGAGATGAAGATGATCCAAGACACAAAGCCGGCGCAAGAGGAGAGCGAATCTTCCCAGGAGATTCGTAGGTATACCTCCGGGAAGCTAAGGGTGGTGATTTGAATTCTACCCTCCAGCAAGGCAGGACTCAAGATACATTCCACCTGTGTTGCCCCAACAGAAATAACCTAAATCCCATCACAGAGT